AAAGAAAGTTTGGGGGTGAATTTGAAGAAAGAGAAAGAGGAGAAGAAGAAATGAAAATTTTTTATTTTTTGGGTTATTTATGCCTTAAGTAAAATAACATTATTTTAGGCATTATAGAAAGGCAAGATCCATGTGTTTCTAAGTGGGTAACCCAACCCACAGTGCGACCCACACAAGCAACTCATCTCTTTGGCCTTATGGTTGAGTCGAATCGAGCCATTCCACTAGCCACTCCAGCCAGTTCTTATGCCTACAATCGAGCTGTGAAACCAACCGAGCCGAATCGATTTTTTTTTTGGTATTTTCTTTCCATTTTTATGTTTTCTTTTTCAATTTATTTATTTTGTTTTATTTTTTAAATAGCTTGCATGATTGGATTTTAGGAAAAGTTAGAAGAAATAAATAAAATAAATATTAATTTTTTTAAAACAAATAATAATTATCCAATGATGAAATTTTTAAAAATTGTAAATGGTAAATTTCTATAAAATTCCTATGTGAGAAATTTTTTTTCTAAATTTATCCCAAATGGTGGAATAATTTATATAAAGTTTCAATAATAATAATAATATTTATTTTTAATTCAAAAAAATTCAAAAAACAATAATTGTCATATTATTTTTTTCGAACATAAAAAAAATAAAAAAAAATTTCTAAATAAACCCAAATAATGAAAAATTTAGAAATAAAAAAAAATTAATTGGCCCAAATGGTGAAAAATTTAGAAATAAATGAAAATAAAAATTTCGAGAATGAAATTTTTAGCAATCACAAATGGTTGATTATCTAAGAAATTTTAGTTGAGAAGATATTTCTAATTTTGACCCAAATGGTTGATGAATTAGAAATATTTTCAATAAAAAAATGATGATTAAACCTTTTTTCCAACGACGAAGTATCTTTAAGAAAACAAATAGGATTCTTGAATACTTTTGAGGTGAGGAAGTATTTTTAAGAATTATTTCAGATAGATGGAGAAATCTTAGAAGTCATTTAGAATATTTAAATATTAAAATAAAAACCATTAGAACTAAGATAATTATTAGGATAATTTAAAATTAAATGGTACCATCTTAGGATGGGCGTTGTGGGAGTGCTATAACCTTCCCTACACGTAATCAAACTCCTGAATCTAGTTTTGTTCAAAATGTTAGAACCTATTCTTTAGGGACCCTTAGTCAAGTTTAGGAGCTCCTTAAAATGATAGATTTATTAGGTGACCAATAACACCTTAGATAAAAGATTAATGGCAACTCCTTTTGTTAAGTCTAGCTATAGATTTTCGAATCTATATATTATGACAACAGTAAAATAAAATAAATCAAAAAATTGAAAATAAAATAGAATATAAAATAAATAAAAACTAAAATTAAAATAGAAAAAAAATCTGCGATCGAGTCGGGTGGAACCACAGGTGGCGCGTGGATCTTGTTTGGGTTATGTGCGGATCTAGGCTTGCTAAAATGGTGTCATTTTGGAGCCCTATAAAAGCCAAGCCTTTTGTTTTTACCTCATAAACCTTCTGCTCTCTCTCTCTCTAGCCCCAATTTTCTTTTTTTTTTTCTCTAGAAAATGCCAAGAACACCAACCGAAAACTTGAAAAACCCACTAGTTTCTGAAAAATTGATCGAAAACTGACTAAAATATTCAAATCTTGCCAAAAAATTCAAAAGAAAATTTTAAAAATTCATCCAAAACCTAGATTTTCCCATATTTTTCCTAGATTTTTTAAAGTTTTCCAAGAAATTCAACCTTGATCCCAAAATTCTAAAACTTCAATCCCAATAATCTAGAATAGAAACTAAAAACCTAAACCCCTTTCAAGCACCAAAACTCCGAATTCAAACACTTTCAAACCAAAATTCCAGAAACCTAGTACCTAAAGGAATTTTTCTAAAATCTTAAACACAACCTTTCCCTCTAAAAATCCACTCTGTCTTGTTCTGTCAAATTACGTCCAATTTATAGGCAATGTCCAATAGAAATTCTAGGGATCAAACAGAACCAATTCAGATTTGAATCTTGGGATTGGATTCTGCCTGAGCATAATTTTAGACTTCTATCCTTATTGATTTTCCTGAATCGAATTAAAAGTCCTGTAATTTGGTTTTGCATTAAAATCTTTGACTAAATAGCTTGGATCCCTTTGATTCAGTTGTAAACTCAATTTCCTTATTCAAACGTAAATCTAAAAGAAAAGGAAAGAACTAGAAAAATAAAAGTAAAAAAAAAAATAATAATATAGTAATGATATAATAATATACTATACTATAGAATAACAAAAATAATAACGATACTAGTAATAATAGTGAGAATAAAAATAGAAATAATAATATAATATAATAATATAATAATAATATACTATACTATATTATATAATAAAATAATAATATAATGTAATATGCTATACTATACTATAATAATAATATAATATAATAATAAATAATAAGACAAGAATAATAATAATAATAATAATAATAATAATAATAATAATAATAATAGTAATAAAAATCGACCCTAGTTGACTCCGGACATAAATGAGTGTCTACATAAGTATATCTAGAAAGAAAATCAAGAACATAGATCCCACACAAACTCATTCAAGAATAAACTTACATTCCAATCACAAATTTTCGTGTGTGTGTGAATAATCCATCTTAAATCAACATAAGAAGTTAAGCAAATATGAAATCAACAAATCCTATCAAAGCATGAACAAATTTCATAAGTTTACTTTTCATATACCTCTTCACTAATTTAGCCACAAACTTAGCCAAAGATCAATAGGACTTTATTAAACTTGTAATGTCAAGCTAGGGTTAAGGTATGATAAAGGAAACTTTAGGCTTATAAAACCTCAAACATGCATTACTAAGATCGAGTACAACATAATCCCTAAGTGCTCTAGTGTCTTGCTCAGCCATGGTGATTGTAGGATTAGGTTGTCTCTCCCTTTTAAGTCTCCTAAGTGTAGTCTCAAGCTTGGGATCTAGAGGGATCTACTCACGTCTCCTAACTTAGTGTATAGATGGGCCACAAGATCACAAAATCAAAAGAACAATTCACAAAGAAAAACCTAAGTATGTACAACTAATGAGAATGAACAACCAAACAAGGTAAGGTATGTACTCATAAAACTAAAGCAACCCTAAGACTAGCCTAGTGTAGGTACACTAAAGGTGAACCAATCTATAGCAAAGCATGATAAGGAATGATATTAATCTAACACTCTTGACTCCTAATCCTCGGCAATTACCTTAAAAATTGGATTAGACAATTCTACAAGCGCATATGCAGTTTAAGTAATAATAGACTAAAAAGTCCAGATGTTGATCCCACAATAATTGCAAATTGAACACCTAGCTAAGAGAGAAGTCCCTTGAATTGCTGTCACTAAATCAAGATCCAACTCAGCCATTGAGTTTAATTGTAATTTGAAATTAGATTTGAAATTTTGTAGATGGAATTTACAAGAGATTTTCTCCATATTTGAACACCAATGAGTTACGAATCTAAGAAAAAAATTTGACTCCAAACAAGCAAGCATTAAACAAGAACTAATCCAAAAACCACAAATAGGTCGAAATTGCAAATAGCCAAACAACTTTGAAAAACACTTGAGATCAATTGAAATTGAATACAAAAGCTTAAGAATCTCGAACTTTTATTGAAGAAATCATCAAATGCATCGAAAATTAAAATAAGAAGAGTAAATTTTGATGGAAAGTAAAAGAAAAATTTCTTCCAAACAACCTCTAAATGAATTATTTGGAGAGAGAAAAAAATGCAAAGAAAATAAAATGCAAAAACTAAAACTAAAATTCTTAAAAGTCCCCTATGGTAGACCACTCTCCCCTGTTTATAAACAAATGGGAGGTGCTTTAGCCCCTAAGAATGCAACAAAAAATTCTAGCTAACTGCCATCCTTCTAGATCCTTTTTTCTCAACTTCATTTAATCTTTGAATGATTGTTTACTTCCTCTAGTGTTCCTTTTACTTCAAGCCTCCTTTTCACCCCAATAAGCTCCAAGAAATCAACATTATGGCCAATAAGGAAGCCTTCAAATAGCTGACTCAGCAGCTCTAATTGGTCCCTTTTTGAATCTTCAAGTTTGTGGCCACACTTTTTGATCACATGGCCCATGCATCCAATGGTCATGGTTGAACTTTGCCTCTTCATTTTGGCACCAATAGCAAACATCTCTCCCTTCATTTTGCTGCCAAAATTCAAACATTAAGTGGACATTTATGCATTATAAACCCTGAAAACTTTCTAGAAAATTACAAGTCCAAAATGGCTTTCAACTACACTAATGCATCTATTACCTTTCATGCACGTATAAAAATTTTACAAAGGTAATAATGCATTAATGAGCTAAAAAAAATATTTACAAATGAAAAATACAAGAATTAGAACTTGAAATAAAGTTACATTGAGTTCAATTGAGCTAAAGAAATCATAGAAGAAAGGACTAAGAAAAACTTCCATGAGTGACAATAGAGCATAAACACTCTAATTTTGGCCTTTTTTAGCTTTCAGTCCCAAAAATCCTTCAAAATGAATCCAAAATCTCCAAAATTCATTATTTTGTATATTTTCACCTACATATGGAATATTTATGCATTTAGGAGTATTTTTACCAAAATTTTCAAGGAAAAAGCCAAAATTTAAGAAAAGTTACATTAAAAAAATGAAAAAAAAAAAAAGGCTAAAAGTTTAGAGCAATAAAATCACTTATTTTAATTTAGGGTTAAAAATTGTAGTTTAGTTTAATTGCCTTCACCACCCTTTCAATAGATCCGAATATAATTAAGGTATCAAATTTCAATAGTTAATTTAGGCCACCACCTCAATTCTTGTGAAGATGATATTTCAGGTTTTTCATTCTATACATGGAAGACCCATTGCTGTGTTGCGTTACAGTGTGCTGAGTTTTTAGATCTTGCCTTCGTGGACATTACTGTTTCTATCGAACCAAACTCCAGAAACTAAACTGCAAAACCTGTGGCTATCTCATTATTGCCAATATGATTCATCAAACCTTGTGATTCTTCACAACTATAACCAATCTCATACCAATCATGCATGGCTCTACTAATATCTCACTGAACAAAACTAACAGAACAGTCTCTCTGGCAGAGAGAATGTTTCTTCAAAATTGATTCTTATTTGGGTCATTATACATGTAACACCAACGCGAGAAGAAACATACGCAGAATTGGTCAACGTTTTATGTTGGAGGGAGAAGAAACAAGTTGTCTGGTCGAAACAAGAAAGGGAGAAAAGTCTGAAACACAAGATACAAAAATTGCTGCAAAACAAATTAGCATCCAGAACATACATATATATATATATATATATATATTTAACACTTGTGACGCTTGACATGTAAAACTATATTAGACCTCTAACTCTTAACACAGAATGGACCCTTCATTCAAGATTATGTTGGGCAATTCCAACTCTGGAATATAGACACGTTGAACCATATATGACAAGCTGCCATCAGCTCCCTTGCTTCTTTTGCGTCCACCAACCAGCAAAAGCGCCATCTGAAGATATATAGAAACAGAAAAAAATAGTCTAGAATTCGTTGAAACTTTGGCCTATAATCTTTGTAAACCAACACCTGAAACAATTATTTGTCATCCTCCCACTAACTAAATTAGCTTAAAACATTTTAATATTTCGTTTCCAGAAGAAAAGCACTGCCTGCTATGAGCATACTCGGGCTCTTTGCCTCTCTCGCTCTTCGGATGCAACCACAGATGATGTCATGTCTCTTTCTGCTAAACATCTTTTGTACGGAACAAACCCCTTACTACACTTTTGAGGAATCATTCTTCCCTCGGGACAAGGATGTTGGGATTGAGAATCAACAGAATCTGAATTCTTCTCCCTATTTTCTGCTCGAGGAACTGTGCCAGTATTTGAACCAGTACAGGATCTTTCATTTAAAATTTCCTTCTCTTTCATCCTCTCTTTGAAACAAAAATCCATATGCGTTTGATTAAATGAGGTAATGTAATAAAAGGGTAGACCTGGGTGAAAAGCCCAACGTGGCAGAGTAGCACCACTGGTGGATTCTACATGGTCATTTTTATCTGGATGAATTTCCATGTGAGGGGATAAGTTAGCTCTGGAAGGCACCATACTCCAATCATCTATGACTGCCCCAAGTGACAAACGTGTGTCCAAGTATGTCGATGGTAATGCCTGAACAAGTATCTCACTAACAGCACCAATATCCTCTTGACCAGTCTTAGATGTTTGCGACTTTAAATTTTCTGCACACATGAAAGGTTTAACAGAATCTTTCACCTGAACTATTTTTCCAAAAAGCTTAATACTAGTGAAAGGCACAACTGTTGTTGCATCTCCTTTGGCACACATAGGGTCCTTGAAATCTACATTGGATTTCTGGATAATTACATGAAGAAAAAAGAAATCAGTCCAAATTCTAGACAAAGTGAAGGTTAGCATAGTTGTTTAGAATATAAACAAAACCAAAGATTTAATGCTGCAACTTTACCATGAAAAATATGTTCTCCACAGCTGAATGACCTAACATATTAGCAGATGACAAAGATGCTTTCTCTTCCTCTGCAGATAAGTTAGATGTCACATGGTCAATTTCCTTTTCAACAGGGGATGTATTGATTGACTCCATATTGGTACTAGAAGAAGTTGGGGAAGAACATCCGTTTTGTTGCTCAGAGTCAGTTGACCCCATTGCATCGGAAGCAAAGGCAGACAAGACTGATGCCAGCGATTTGTTATCTTGTTCTGTGACAAAGTGATTGGGGGATGAAGATGTCTCTGGTTGAGATGATGCCGATATTCCTTTGTGCGAATCAACAGATTTGCGGGGATATGGACGTATTGGCTTTCTTTTTGGACGAGGAGGGGGTATCTCAATTGGCTTAATGGAACACTGAAAGCCACCATTTGACTCCCGGACAACCTAGAGCCACACTCAGAAAACATACAAGTATGAGAGACTGATGAGAAAAACCTAACTAAGAATGTCTATACATTCATTGCATGGTCAAAAAAGATACAATACATTTTCTTAATCAAGAAAATCTTTCAATGAACTTAAAGTAATAAACCTTTGAGAAAAACTTTTGAGCATGGCTTCGAATTTGAACTGCAGTTTTGGTGCCTACATGCTCTGCATTAAAATAAGAGTAACTTAAATCTGTTCAAACCATAACTGTGGCAAAAAAGTGAATGAGATCATCCATGGTGCACTTACCTTCTATTTGGCGCCAGCCACGACCATACAACCTTAAAGCTTCAAGAAACTTCTGATGCTCTTCCTCAGTCCATTTTTCCCTTTGTTTAGTTATGGTATATGGTTTCCTGACCTATTATAAAGGGAAAGAAACAAACAAAAAAAGACTAACAATTACTTGTTGGGAACTGGTATTGAAAGTATACTTCACAGCCAACGTGAAGAAACAAACCTTCAGCGTATGATCATGCTTAAATGTGTACAACTCATGCAATTGGATCAACGTCTCAGATTGTGGGCTGCCATTGGAACGGCATATACCGGATTTAAGAGCATTAACCGATGTTTTGCCTTCCATTTGGTCCTATATCAAAATTTGCAAGAGCATTTAAACAATAGGGAAACACTCTTCACAACAAATGGTACCAAAACCAATGCTAATTCTCATTCAATCAAGCATATTCACCTCCACACAGATATAGGCATAGTGATAACAATTAAAGAAGCAGCAGAATTGCATCTTAACAAAATTTGCACACAAATATAAGCATATTCACCTTGAAAATTTATGCCTTTTATCATAATCAAACTAAATTAATCAAGCAGAGTGCATAACACTGGGAAAGTATAAGCCTCATAAATATAGGATGTTATGTACCTCAGCCTCAGTAGCCATCAAGGGAAATGGATATTGCTTCAGATCTTGCGGAGCTAAAAGTAGAATACTCCTGCAACTCCCCCAAAACCAAAATCACTCTTTAGATATATATATATATATATATATTATAATCCAACTAATTTATTAACACCACTTTAGATTTGCTCTTAATCTCAACCACCTGTCATAATTTTTCTTTTCCAATTAAAAGAAAAGGGGAAAAAACAAAAAAAATCAAAACTCCTCTCCACCGCAATGAACTGATGGTCACATAAGATAGATCATTAAATTAATAAAAATATTATCCAAATAAAAAAAAAAGAAATTAGATCACCCACGACTTACCAGTTAAAAAGAGAAACCTTGGAAACTGACAGCCGCCGGAGAAAGAGAACTTAAGCAAGGAAAGGAAAGGAAATGTTGTGTTGTGTTGTGACAGAGAAATCGCAGTAAATAATATTAAGAAATTAAAATAGCAGGAAATTTGAAAAAAAAAAAAAAAAGGGAAAAGTAATAAGAGAATCGAAGATACAGATAAAAGGGAAGCGAAGGAAAAACAGGACGGTTTTGGATTAAGGAAAGCAAGAAATATATTATTATTATTAGTATTACTATTTTATACAGGAAAGGCGCCACATCAGATGTAATTTCTGAATTCTTTTTTATTTCCATGGAAAATTCGAGCTTGGAGTCTTGTGGCTGAGAACGCTCGGGTTCCTTTACACGCGGCATCTTTTGCTTGCACTTTTTTTTATTTCAAAGATTTTTCTCTCTTGTTTTATTTTGTGGAAGATATTGAGTGATGGATGGATAAATGATAAAAATGTAGCCATTTTCAGATATTTCATGACTTTTGTTTCCACGCGCACTTCGCTTCACTCCTACATTAATGCCAGAGCGTGCCTACAGTCGCTGGCACAGGAGTGGAGAAACAGAAAATTAAAAAAAAAAAGGCAGGAGAAAAAATCGAAAAATATCTATGACCTCTAAAAACAAGGAGAGACAAAGACGGCTGGCCGAGTGGTGCTTGTGACATAAAGGACTTTGACAAGCTGAGCTGGGGGCCACCAGACCTCCCATGCGCTTTTTGCCACATCAGCTCTTCTTTAACGTTAACGCTACGCGTAGCAACTACAACACAATACCGTCCAAGTAAATTTTAAATATATTTTTCTTTTATTTATTAGCTCTTTCTAGACAGTTTGAGCGGCGATCCCACGCACTCGACTCTATAATAACACCTTGTTACGCCAATTTAATTTCAGCCTCATGTTTGTTTGTTTGTCGATATTTTATTCACTCTTTTCGGAGGATAATGGTGGAACCTAAGCTTTGCCTAGCCTCAACCCTCAAGTTTGTCGTTCTCATTCTTATCTACTCCAAGAATTCTACTCCTACATATCTCTCATACATCTCATGTCTTTTGGCTTGTCTCACTCTATCTACATATATTGGCGCACACATACATATAAAAAATATATATATATATATATATGGCTTCGAGATTGCGTTTAAATTTTGTTTTCAATCATATGACATGAAATTAGATTTTACTTCATTTGAATAATTTTATATAAGAAAGGGATATGTCTATAGATAAATGGAGAATTGCAAATGCTAATTTTTATCAAATAATGTATATTTCTTATATAGTCATAGGTTTTTTTTTTTTAATTTTGCAATCAAATCAATTCTTTAAAAAAATTTCAAACATTTATTTAGCTAACAAAAATTTGTTTCTTCATTTGTCATTAAAGATGAATACTTCATTAAAAGGTTTTATATATACATTTAATTCTTTTAGTAAAAATCACTTCTTTTAGAAGTATTAAGGTCATAATCTTTTATAGCCAAAGAATGACTCATCACCTAACCAAAGTTATTTTGGATATTTGAGCCGAGTTGACATGGTGAGCTGAGCTGATTTATTAGACTTCACACTAGCTTGGCCAACTTTGCATCCTATCTCATAGTATGTAAACATGCTGACTTGGCATCCCCTTATTAGGCATCTTTCAACGATGTTAAGTCCAGCTAACCTCTTTAACCCTAAAGTCGACTCCCAAAACTTAAATTGTTAGGGTCCAAACACCTTCCTAAACATGTATAAGTGCCCTTTTCATTTCAAGTATGGCAATCAATTCACAACATTCTCTTTCTAAATGTTCCTTCTTTCTTTATGTTTTTGAGCACTAACTTGAATATCAAAGCATAAATATTAGAGACACTTTTGGCCTTTGTCCTTAATCGATCCCGTATTTGTGATTTCAGACTTTTACCCTTTTCGCCCAATTCAACATAAAAATTTTTTGTGTGCCAAGTAAGGGCTTACTTAGCAAAGCTTACAATGCATTTGAAGAAGAGAGCCACAAAAAAAATGGAGAAATCCTACTATAGTTGAAACTGACAAAGAGAGATAATCCTGCTATAGATGAAACTGACAAGCTTAGTCAACCAAACCAAAACTAACCTACGCAAGTTACACCTACATTAGAATAATTTGAACATTGACCCAACAGCTCAATCCCTCAAAAAGCTTATTTAGAATATAACCCATCATAAGACCTCTAAAGAACTAATAGCCATAGCCCAAAGAAACCCTTAAACATAAAATTTGCTGACCTTTTGCATTAGGCTTCTTAGTTTGCTACACATGGACTGCCAAAGTTGCCACCTTTTGCATGGGTTGAGCCTTCTTACCTTCATAACCGAATGAGCTTGTGTATAAACTTCTCATGTCTTGGCTGAATGTCATCCACTAACTTTACATAGAGTCTATGGTTCATGCATGGCTTCTTCCTCTTGTCATTTTTACATGGTTTACATGGTTTTTGCCTTTTATGTCCAACTTGTCTAAAGTCTTCATGCAAACTTGAAAATTAAAATTTTAACACATTAAGGCATAAAATTCATGAAAATTTTCAAAATTTAAAAGTTAAAATGACCTAAGAAAAGCTAAAAATTTCACAATCATCACACCTCTACAGTTAGCTTTTTGCTTATCCTCAAGCAAAATCCTCAAATTAACAATGCTCTCAAGCAAAATAGATGCATTCAAAGTCAAAGTTTCACAAGTCACCAATCATTCACTATGGTATAATGTAAGGATAGTTATGCACATAGTCAAACATAAAACTTATTCAAAAGTAAGCTTTCAATTTTATGCAAATTTCATGTATGTAAAGTTAATCTATCTCTAATCATACACGTAACCTAAGAAAAAAGTATGTAAAATATGCTACTACATATTAATTTAAAGTTAGAGGACATTTCATATGTTTATTTTTCTCATTCCCTTTCCATTAATGTAAGCTTACATACTTAACTCAAAATCAATAAGCCTTTATCGGCTTGTAATTTAAGGCTTAGGTTGAGGTAAGAGAAATTATATTTTTAGCCTCAAAACCCTTTACTTTTTTTTGGAACTTAGACTTGGTAACTTTTAAGACTTTACAAGGCTGAGGCATCTTTATTTTGGATTTTTTTTCATAGCCATTTTTAGCTTTTACACTTTTTTCTCCTTTTTTTATTTTTTTTTCTTTCTTCCTTGCGCCTCCCTACCTTTTAAATATGACTTGTTCTCTTATTTTATCCCTAATAATGTAGGTTGGGTAAGAAAAAGATGGTTAATTCATAGAAAGGCCTTGGGCTTATTTATGTGGGTAAATAAACAAAGAAAATGATTATTAGCCTTAAAGTAAAGTACTAAGGATGATTTATTAATAGGTGGGCTTGAAAAGCTTAAAAGGGTTCAAATATGGCTTAAGTCAATTCTTAAGTCAAGTACAATCTAAGATTTTACCTTGAGGGTTGAGTAGATAAATTTTAAACTCATTCTCATGTCCTAAATCTCTATGCAATTTTATGTTCGCAAAATTTTCACAAAAATTTATGCATGTCAAAGATCAAGATTAAAATGCATATTACATGAAAATCAACAATCCAAAGAATAGCATACTTAAGACATCATTTCATATTTTCACTACATTCATACTTGTCCCAATATTATACTTAAGTCACTCATGAACCATGTATGAAAAATTAACAAAGATAGCATTATCCTGATTGTAGGCATGTTAACTTCATTTGAAAACAAAGATTTTAGGAATAACTTTTGAAAATATTTAAAAAAAAAACTTTTTGCACAAAAGAATTCCCCCCACCACACTTGAATTGCACATTATTTTAATCGACACAGTAAAAGAGTTAGGGAAATGGAATAATGGAATACTCCCCTACTTTACTTCTTGAAGCCAAATCTTATACTTTCTTTTAGGCACCTTGAATCATCCTTATTTCTAAAAAAACAAAAATAAAAAATATCAAAACATACATGTTTTAATAACAAATAATAACAAATTTGAACAAACAACAAATGTAAAACTTAATAAGGAATGTAAAACTTGTATCACCTCCCAAATGGAGCTAGTTTTGGTTGAGCTTGACCATAGCTAGATGTTGGGTTCAGTGAGGTATATTACCTCCTTAACTTGATTTGCAACTCCTCTATAGTAAGCTTTCAATCTATACCCGTTAACCTTGAAAGGCTGCATCACTTTTTCACCCAAGATTCCACCTTTCCATAAAGGAAAGACTTGTGTCACTATGAATGGTCCACTCAATCTAGACTTCAGTATGCCCAAAATAGTTTTAATCTTGAATTGAAAAGTAGTACTTGTTGACTAACCCTAAAGTGTTTTTCCATGATCTTTTTGTCATGCCATCTCTTAGTTTTTTCCTTATACACCTTAGCATTTTCATAGGCTTGAAGTATGAATTCATCAGTTCATTCAGTTGCAACAACCTCTTTTCTTTTACCAACTTTTGATCAAGTTTATGTTTTTTAGAGCCTAATATACCTTATGTTCTAACTCAACAGATAAGTGACAAGCTTTTCCATGAACCAATTGCTAGGGGGACATTCCTAAAAGAGTCTTATATACAATCCTATACGACTATAAAGAGTCATTTAATTTGGCAACCCAATCCTTTCAAGACGGGTTCATAATTTTTTCAAGGATCTTTTTCACCTTTTTATTAGACACTTTGGCTTGGCCACTAGTTTAAAGGTGATAAATCATGGCTATCCTATGTTTTACTCCATACAGGGCTAGTAGCTTTTCAAAAATTTTATTACAAAAGTGGGTGCCCTCATCACTTATTATAGCTCTAGGTGTACCAAATCTTGTAAAGATGTTTTTGATTAAGAAACTTAGTATGACATTGACGTCATTGGAAGTGATGTTATGGCTTCTACCCATTTAGAGACATAATCTACTACTAATAATATGTAGATGTTTCCAAAAGAATGTGCAAAAAGTTTTATAAAATATACTCCTTAAACATTCAAGACCTTAACCTCTAATATGTTGTTTAATGGAAACTCATGTCATTTTGACAGATTCCCCATCTTTTGACATTTATCACATATAAGGACAAAGTTATATGCATCTTTAAACAAAGTAAGCTAATAAATTGCATTATAATAGCTTGGCCACTGTTCTTTCACCCTTATAATGTCCTTAATATTTCGAACCATGGCAATGTTGTAAAATGTGCTCCACTTCTTCCATTGTAACACATCTTTTCAAAACC